AAAACCTTTTTCTAAATCAATTTCAATGCTGGTTCAGAAAAATATAGTTCGAATCTTCCATCTTGTAATACAACGTCAAAAAAGTCAATTTCATCATAGAGGACGGGTTTTTGTATTTTTGAGGTCCTCTAAGTAAGCTGAGCTTATCACCATGAGGAAATGGTTTGGGGAGGCTTGTAAGGTGTTATTCGTGATCAGTTCGTTGAGCTGAATCTGAATATGTATAATGTCAAAAATAACTTCCACTGTAAGTTTACATTAGGTGCACCTTACTCTGGTCGAGATCGGTCATTAGCATGTTTAAGAAAAGAAAGTCAGATAGTGGCTATTGAGATCGCAGATCATGATGAAGCTAAGGCAGTATTCAAATTGGTACAAGCCAATTTATTATTGAAACGAAGGCTTGAAACGTGAAATAGTACACACGTTTTGCTATTAATGTCGCTAAAATTTGATTTTCTTCGTAAAAAACGATTATTCTGAACTGAAAATGTTTTCGATAGAAGAAAATGAATTTTTATCAATATATTATAATTATAGCAACAGAAATTATGATCTGAATAATCACTGTTTGATCATATAATGAATGACTCTAAAAAATTACAGCAATGTATATAGATTTCAATTACATACCTGAAAAACTGTTTGTATCCATTGATGCTAGACCACGTGCTTGATACATATAACATCTTAGTTCGTATTTATGAGGTTCTATATTTGTAATTAAAGTGTAAAAGATGAATATATAGATATTATTATTATACAAATACATACCTTTAAAATTTAAAAACATTCTTGGAGCGTTTATTTCTATTATCTCTTTTTTTGCATCCGTTTTTCCTTTATCATGCTCGTCTCCAGATGATGTTGCTTCCTTAATTAGAATGTATTAAATTAAATTGTCTATCATTGAAATTAAAGAAATCAAAGATATATTACCACTTGTGATTTCATACGAAATACGGCTTGTGTATATTCAAGTGATTCAGGTATCATTTTTCGATGCCAACGTCGTCGTCTAACCATATCCATACTACGTTCATCAGCATGAAATTTCATATTAAACATGGGTGCATATTCCCAACCATTTTTAAGTCCATCCTGAAATTCTTTGCTCTAAAATAGACAACATTTTACTATTAACAATGATCTACGCCAAATTAAGAATAAAAGAGAAAAAAAACTAACAAATTATTGGAAGTAAAACATACGTAGTGCAAAGTAAATGTTGTAAGTTGTTTATTTGACGTACCTTAGTTTGACTCATTGGTAATAAATTGACTGATTCTGCGGTTGTAAGAGTGTCCTGTAAACCATTAAAAAATAATGATTAATTGTAACAACAGAAGTAGAACTTAGTTTGATATTAACTTTTTTCTGACGATGGGCAGATCTTATAGCATTACTCTCGTTGTTTTTTTATTATCTCCTGTTTTACTGAAAAATAGTCACGGTTAAATGACCTTATCAATATTCAATTACAGTACAGAACAAAGTAAATTTAAGAGCTCTGTATGGATTCGAAATTTTGAGTTCAGTTCAATTCAGTCCATATGAAGCTGTGATAAACACTTTTATGTGTAACAAATTCCACTTTGATTAGAGAGTTGTACATTCTAGGTCGCAAATTTCTTTCATTTTCTGCAAAAAATTGAAACAGATTTTGAATTGAATAATGAATCTAATCATCTACACATTTTAGGAAAAACTTGTAATGATCAACACTATCAATGAATGTACAACAAGAAATAGTTGTATGCTTCATTCTGACATGTCGAATAACTTACAAATAATGTAAGAGTTTCTCAATAGTTTTGATTAGTAAAAAAACTTTAGAGTAATCCAATAAATGTCACAATTATGTTCATACTCGTCTACTTTGGGTAGTTTTGTCTATTACTCTTGTTCTAAACCATCGGCGTCGACGATTTAAATGAAATATTTTATCAGTTGGACACCATCCACCTAATGTTTGATTAACACAGTATTCATAACCTAAACAAATCATTTATAAAATAAATGTACTAAACAAACATATTATCATATGATGTATGCTTCTTTTACCTTCTTCATCCACAGCACGATTAATATCAATTGTCCAATCATCTTCCCATTTCCAACCATCAGGAGGATTTACTCGTTCACTTTTACTTGGTACTTTATCACCCGCCTACAAAAGTTATCAAACTTATTAGTAAAATATTTTACGTGAACAGTAGCACTTTATCTTGATTATGCTAATCATCTGGATAGTTTTCATCTCGCTTAATGCTACGATTTTTCATCAAACGATTTTTCTCATTAAAAAAAAGAAATAAATGAAAACTAAGTTACAAAGTAGCTATTTAACGGTTAAAACTTATGTGTATTGAACGAGAGCATGATCAAAAATAAACCTTAATGGAATGTTTTTCATTAATTATTTACAACTGTTCGTGAGAGGATGCCACAATCAGAGCCAAAAGTACGCGTCAACCACGCATAAGAATTCTCATTCTAGGTAAATTATGAAGAGCTCGGACTGTTTTTGTTTTGCAGTAAACATCTATGCCTAGGAGTTGACAGAGCCCGATTTTTGAATTTCTCATTTACTGATTATTTCTAGTGCTTAATAGAACTTTAAAATTCGAAAAATCCTTGAAAAGTTTCTTAGAAATCCTAATTTCTATAAAAAATAGAAACATAATTTAAAAATTGGATTCTGTCAAATCCTAGTTATAGATGTTACATACAAAGCAAAAAAAAATTTTCTTTTTCCGATGTATCGTTACCGAGAATTCCTGTACGTGGTGAAAGCGCTAAAGCTAAAAAAGCAGTCTTAAGAAAAACATAAAATAAGTTTTGATTCTGTTAAATGCGTTTTACTTAAAAACTGTTTGAGCATTAGATAATTTGTTGATATTTTGCTACACATTATCGGTCATGGCGAATCTAATGAACATGTGCGCGGACATATGCGTGCGCTTATACAATATAAGTGCAAAAAAGCCATTTTGTTTGCTATGGGGCTTCTGGAAAACTCGCTCAAAACCTATGAAAAACCTATCTTATCGACAGAAAAAGTATGCTGTTAGAAAGTAGACACTTTGGGCTATTCAACCATGTGCTTTTCTCAAAATCAACATTTTTGATGAAAATCGGCATTTCTGAATCAGGGGGGGCCTTATGCGTGTTAGTTCAGACGAAGGTGTACTTTTTTGAAAATCTCGAGATACATTGCTTAATATCTGAGATAACCATAAAAACAAGTGATCAAAATATGTAATTTAGTTAATCGACATTTAGCATAAGACAAAATAGCAGGTTCATAAAGTACTGATGGGTCATAAAATACAAGAATCGATATTTACTATATCTGTCCAACCATTTGCCTTTGGTTGCCATTGTGCACCAGCTAATAAACGACTCTGATGTTCATAAACTTCTTCTGTAAATTTGTTATGACCAGCATCATCTGCATATCGTGCACTAAAATAATATCGCTAAAAATTAGTCTAACCAGATATTATCAGCTACAATATGAGAGAATTAAGTTGTGCGAGCTTTTCAACATACTCGGGGCTAACAGCGTTTTTTTGAACTTATTTTCCAATTATCTGACTAAAACTTTTGACCGAAAGCTCATTCCATAGAATGTCCCAATTGAAAAAATGAAGATATTTAGATTACATTGAGGGAAACTAACGATTCCATTCTGAAGTTGAATTACCATCAAAACTTAGCATATGTCCTGTGAAAAGTGTATTACTCAGCACGCATGTTTTTACTTCTCTGAGAGACACTCAGTAATGAAAGGTCGCAGAGAATGGGGATTTTCACTATCATGTTTGGCACTTTCTCTTGTCTATTTGCACAAATTTTCTAGCCAAAATTATTTTCCTGTTCTTTCAGTGTTCTTCGATAACACAAAATAGTCTATAATTGTTTTGATGTCCACAAATTGTTCGTACAGTTACTCTTTTCTCCTTATTATCTTCTTTGCTATGCACTCACCTTGGCATGATACTTAAAACTTCGATATATTGTAAGTCCCAGAGATTTCTGGAAAATCTACATTTTCAGCGTTACAGTATATCAAAATCTAGTTTCAAATAAACCATTAGAAAGAGCACGAAAAACTGTATCGGATTTCTCTGTTGATATGGCACAGGAAGAAACCTGGATTAGGGTTTTTCAGAGAGACTGTCAATTGTCTTTGTCGTACTGATGATTTCGTGTTTTTTGACATATTTCTAATGAACCTGCTGATTGAAAATTTTTGGACCTGCACTGTTACGACATACTGCTCGCCGTTTAATCTGGTTGCGCATAGGAGATTGAGACGAATCCTTCTATCTGATCATTCCATTCGGACAGAGAAAAAGAACAGTTTTTTTCCGTTCGGTAGATGGCGGAAGCTGAGTGTATAGTCAACCTTTCTCTTTCATATTTATTCACTCTGAATCGTACATGTTCAGGAATATCTAATGTACAATAAATCTTAAGTAGACAAACCTGTTCATCAGTATATGGTAGGACTACTGTTCTTTTTCCCTGTGTCAGAATCAAATGATCAGACGGAAGATACGTCTCAATCTCCTATGCTTCCTGTGCCATATCAACAGAGAAATTCGATGCAGTTTTTCGTGCTCTTTCTAATGGTTTATTTGAAACTAAGTTTTGATGTACTGTAACGCTGAAAATGTAGATTTTCCAGAAATCTCTGGGGCTTACAATATATCGAAGTTTTAAGTATCATGCCGTTGTCAATATGGCTTCCTTTTCAGTCCACCATGTCCAGAACAATTTTCTCTTTCAAATGCTATATGATTTTATACAGGTGAGTGCGTAGCAAAGAAGATAAAAGGAGAAAAGTGTAACTGTACGAACAATTTGTGAACATCAAAACAATTATAGACTTTCCTATTTTTTTTATCCAAGAACATACGAAAATAATTTTGGCTAGAAAATTTGTGCAAATAGACAAGAGACTAACAAGGAAACCTGTCCAACTCTTACGTTCCGATTTTGTTCGTTCATACGTCGATCGATAGAGGTAATCAAGCTAGTAAAAAGAATAAAAGGCTTTTTCCCCATGACTCTTGAAGACTCGGTTTTCTGAAAAACCAGTTTTTCTGAAACTCTAAAAAATAACTAAAATCTTTCTTAATAAGACAAAATTCTAGCCCACAAATTTCTGATTAAAATGAGACGTCTCCCAGCTCTACACGACCTTTACAGAATTTACAAGAAAAGCCCTAATGTTCATTGTCAACTCAAAGTCACAGAAATAAGAAGAAATAAATTGAGGGTTTTTCTTGAAAAAATTCTATAACTTTACAAAGAAAGGTGCGTAGAGCTGGGAGATATCTCATTTTAATCAGAAATTTGCGGGCTACAATTTTGTCTTATTTAGAAAGGTTTTAGTTACTTTTTAGAGTTTTAGAAAAAGTGATTTTCCAGAAAACCGAGTCTTCAAGAGTCATGGGGAAAAATCCTTTTAGGCTTTTTACTAGCTCAATATCCTCTATCGAGAGAGTGGAGGATAACAAAATATGAGAGTGAACCACCTGCAAAATAAGTGTCATTGTAGCTTGAGATGATGTTATCGTTCAAATCCAGAGGCAAATTTTATTTGGTATAATTTTAGTGATGATTCGATTGTAGAATGGAAAAACTCGATGTAACCGCAATTCTAACAGATTCTCGTCCCCCAACTTAAGTTGTCTTCCAGAAGAGGGATAATATTGATAGATGGTACCTACCTTATATCTGGACTAATGTACCAGTCACCTTCCCATCGCCAATCAGGTGGTAATTGAAAATTTTTTTGAGGTAAACTAATCTAATTTTTTAAAATAAAATTACTTATTAAAATACAAGAACGTTTGATCGTATGACTTACATTTCCCGTTACATCAGACCACGCTGGTCTACTCATTAGAGGTCCACCTGTGGTCCATTTTCCTACAATATTTGTTTGATTTTCGTATGTTTCTGCATAAACAACCAATTCTCCTCCTTTCTCCGATGACAACCAATCGTGTTCATTTGACTGGGTGCCTAGCCATACTTTAACACGTACTTGAGCTGGCAGAAAATTTCTTTTATCTTTTTCAATCTCCGATTCTTTTCCCGGCCATTTCATTGTTATTGTATGGAGTTTTCCACAGAGACGTCCTTTTCGATCTTTTTGCGCCGAATAAAGGACCTCGTGTGCTGGCAAACGATAATAAGCAAAGCGTTTACCACTACATAAAAGCCATATTATTACATCAGGCATACTATTTTGTGGCTTTAAAGGAAAGTATAACGAATGTATTTGTTATTAATATTTATGAAATGTTGTTGAAATATAACATACTTCAGCTTCTAAGCTTTGTAAAGTATTACAAATATCAAAAAAAGCTTCTTCAAATTCCTTTGATGTAGTTTGAGGTTTTAATTTCATAGCTTCTAAATTTACGATCATATCTCCTATAATTTTATCTCGCAGTTGACGACGAAGACGATCTAACTCATTTGTATAATGTCGACCAGTTTCAGCATTGGGTAACGGTTTTCTATTATACGAAATGATGAATGACAACTAGATATAGTGAGTATTAGATGTGAAGTTTTGATTAAGAAAAATTAATTATGAATGGAAAATTTTTGATGGCTATTTTTCAAGTCTTTTACAAGATTTTCTGACTACTATTGGTTCCAAACTACAAGAGCAGTGACCATTCTTTGAATAACTGTTGAACGAAAGTAGATGAAGACTCACGGTTTTTGCTATTCGATAGTCAAGACTTAAGAGTATGTTTTCGTAAGTAGAAAATATCTAGAATTCTTTTTCAACAGCCGATTCTCAAGGAGATCTCTGGAAAAGCGTTCCATAACTGGAAAATTCGACACAGCAATATATTGATTTTTTTTCATAAGGAAATAGATTAAAGTGTCCTCTGCAAAACAGAACCTAAGAGAGAGCTTCATCTTGTATGATTTCACAGGGGACGAGATTTTCCTGGGAGGCCTAGGGCTGCTCGTCATTTCAGTCTATGAATCTCAGCAATGCATGCATGCAAACATAAGTTTCGACTATGCTGAATCTCGTGGCAGTATTTTTGTTCTTAGAAAAAGATTTTAAAATCTAGCGAAAACCAAGTTTTTCAAAAATTAGGGTTTCCGCCTGTTTTCAACTGTTATTAAACAATTCACAGAGAGGCATAGACAAGTTTCCTAAGCCATTCGCTTCGCCATTCAATTTAGAACAAAAGTATGAAGTGCTTTTTTCGAAAATTTTTTCGTTCCTAAGAAAGTACATTTTTTCTGAATCAGGATCAAAAAAATCGGAATTTTGCCCGTAATTCTCGATTTTCTCCATCAGAACTAATTTCTTATGCAATAAAAATATCACGTTCGGAGTTTAACGTTGAAACCGATTCGACTGATATATGTTTCGAAATTTTTCGTTGACTTTAATTTTTGAATGAAAATCTCAGTGATTTTTCGATGTGAAAATTCGAAGAAAACAAAAGTGGTCAGGTATGGTAAAAAAAAGTGTATCATTCGGCTCGGTTGTCAACGTTAAGTCTGAATGTGATATTTTTATTGCATAAGAAATTAGTTCTGATGCAGAAAATAAAGAATTACGGGCAAAATTTCGATTTTTTTGCTCCTTATTCAGAAAAAATGTACTTTCTCAGGAATGAAAATAATTTCGAGAAAAGCTCTTCATACTTTTGTTCTAAGTTGAACGGCGAAGAGAATGGCATAGAAAACGTGTCTCTACTCTTAACCAAAAGGTTGCACGTAGCTGGCAAGATGAGTACTGTCAAACAAAAGGTGTAGATGAAAAGCGATGTGCCCAGAAGCTACTGTTTCATCTGGAACCTTCAAATATACTTTTCTAGATGCAGCTTTAGATGTCGATCATGAAAACACCTTTGTGAAGCTCAAAATCCATTTGGAATGGAGCTACACCATTTTTTAAAAAGTTAGTGGATTTTTGAAAAGAGAGTCCCTCTCTGTATTCTCGGTGATAACGTACACTAAAAAGCTTCAGATTAACATATTCTTAATCAGCATGAAATTCTCTATCGAATGATACATATTTGAAGTGAAAATAAAATAGTGCTCGACGTTCGAATTTGGAGCGCCTTATGATCAGTTTTCAATGTCTAGATAATAAATTAATGAATTGAATTGAATTAAAAAGATCCTGTGCTTGAAAATATATATTTTTCAGTAAGTACAACGACTAAATCTTTTTGGATGTTAGTGTCGTTCTTTCAGGGTACTACTGAATGTTTATTTGTAAAGATGGCTAAAGAGCTCAGTTATTAATGATAGTCTTGGGTGTTAGTATACTCAACTCAATGAGCTCTATCAGCTGGCTATCTCAGATTATAAATTGGAAGATTTCTGAATGTTAATAAATATTCTCATTTTTTACAAATATTTAATAATTTTCGCTGAAAAATCAGAATATTAAAATATATTCTCTCATTTGGAAAAAAACATTTTTCATGACGGAGAAAGAAATAATAAAGTAGAGCGCACTTACATTAGCTGAGCTATAACCAAATCCAATGATTGTCGATATTGTCGTAAAATAATATCTTCTGCTGTATTTTTGGTTTTAAGTGATTTTATTGATGAAAGAATTCCATTCTAGAACAGAGTGGAGTTGGAAACGCATTTTGCCAAGTCAATTTTCTCTTTATATCTATCTAAAGCATCATAAGAATCTATTACAGCAATTGCTTACAATTAATAATCTAATTTTTGATAATTGATTTATTGCTTCTAATCGAAATGTAATATCTTCCCATTCTGCAACAACTTGTGCACATGGTTTTGCAGTACCCCATGGTAGATAATAATAAGATGTCCCATCGAAAACAGGATTTGTCGGTGGTGTTGTTGAACTATTAGCACTACCAAGAACATCCTCTAATTTATTACCATAATTGCCTACAGTAATAATAGTTTTTCAATTGATTTGATTACAAAATTATAAAAATAGTGCTTTACCCATGCTAACTTCAAATTCCATCATCGATGTATGTTCAAATAACATAGTTGCGTCATAAAAGACGGCATGTAATTTAAATTTTTTACGTGATTGAAATGGTAATGATCGTACAATTTCCGAGTTTGATATATCAATTAATGATTCTAATGGAGTTTCACCTAAGACTGTTACCAATTCAATAAATACACGGCCACGATAAGCAACACCTTCACCCTAGAAAATTTACCAAGAAGCGAACAATCACAAAAATGCACCGAGAGTTGGTAAAAAACATCAATAAGTTTTCCTTTCTTAAAGGAGAGGGTTATTCTATTTTAATACAAAAATTTCTTTTCGTCTAGATCCACTTTTTCCTTGTAGTTAGTCACTCATTCTCAGCTATCTGTAATTGTATAGATTTGGGAAAAACATTATTCGAGAGTGCAGGATGACACAGTCGATGAAACATCGAGAGTAGATGACACATCTGAAGGTATTTTTTCGATATATGTTTTAATTATTAAGTGATGAATCCCAAAAATTCAGCATATTTTCAATAACTTTTCTGGTTAAGGGTACCCCTACCCTCTTTTCGGGCTTTCCCTAGAAATGCTGTGAAATAAAAACTAAAAGTCACTAGGGCTGCATATTTTCAGAACTGATTAGAAACTCAATGGAGCACCTTTTCGTTTTTGTTTCAAGTGTTCAACTATTGTCGTTCACCAGTTTTTCAGTGTGCCACATTACGAGCCCCCTTAAATTTCATCTGATCGAGTTCAAAATTTTACCAGAGGTACTCAAGGTTATTCCGCAGAGAGAATTTTTGGGAAATTGTTTTGAGACCTTTCCTGGTCGAGTTATAGGAAAAATACTGAAAAATGTCTCGAAAATCAAGTTTTTCAATTTTAGAAACTCTAGAAGTCGGTGAAGAAAAGTCTAAAATAAAATTTCAAAAAAATTACCTTTACAATGGCGCCTTGAGTACCTTTGGTAAAATCTTGAACTCGATTGGATGAAATTTAAGGTGGGTCGTAATGTGGCACAGTGAAGCCTGGTAGCAAAAAAATAGTTTTCGAGAAAAAACGCATTTTGTGGATAGGTCACTTTTTTCAGAGCATTTGCCGCGATGCTTATATCTCCGCGAAAACTCATTGGAAAATTCTGTAAAACGTCTTATTGTCAAGAAAACACTTTCGTCTATCAGACTATGCGTAAGAAAAGCGTTGAATGTACAGAAAATGAGAGAAAAGTTTATGAAACTAAAAAAATTGAGTGGTTTAAGGTTTTGAAGGAAAACTTCAAAGGCTCGTAACTTTTTGAAGAAAGGTGGTGAAGTGCTGGAAGTGGTTTCATTCTGTAGCCCACACTTTTTCCTACATTAGGCTATTCTCAACTTAAAATCCGAAATTTTTACAAAAAAGAGAGGGGCATCCTTAATAGGCGTCCTGCACGAGAAAACTATCTCCGAATTCCACTACGCTCTGAAGCTGTCATCTGGCTTATAGGGATTTCTCGAGGTTCTCTTTCTTTTTTGTTTCTAGAAAGTTTTCTCCAAAACCTTTGAAAGTACGATTTCCAGAAAACCGTGGTTTTTAGACTATATTAGTTAATTAAGTGTTTTGAAAATCACCGTTAGGATATGGAGCATTTTAAATAACATATTCGGATTCAGCGTCAAAGGGCGAACATTTTGGAAAAAGACTAAGGTTTCAACTCAAAATTTTAATTTTTCAATTTAATTTAAAATTTAAAAAATTAAACTTTTTTTAAAATGACTGTAGCTCAGCTCAGCTCAGCTAAGGGATGGAGATTCAGTTCAAATATGATTGGATAGAGAATTAAAAACTGAACAAACGTGGGAGTTTGGCAAGATCTCAATGCCATGTGATCAAAATTTTCCAGAAGATCTTCAAAAAAACCTTCTTTTAATTTCACTTTAATTCTCTAGTTTTGAAGTTAAAGCATTTTTGCTGAACTTTTTTGAAGTACTAATGGCCAAAAACAATCGATATAAGATATTTCAACACTAGTGATGATGGGGGCTGCACAGATAACAAGATCGAGTTTCTCTTAGATATATTTTTCAATATCTCCATAATTAATTTTAGGAAGAGACCGTAGATCAGTCATTATTTATTTTCAAAACAAGTTAGAAATGAGAGAGACACTTTTTAAGAAGAAGTCTAGACTAGTCTAGACGTATGTCGAAGTGAAAAGAGAAAAAAAGATCATTGTGACCTATAGCAAGCAGTTGACTACATGAAGATGAATATCGTTCATACAGCAGCCAACATCGTCGTTAGTGTTGAAATATCCTGTTTCGACTGTTTTTGGCCATTAGTGCTTCGAAAAAATTCGGCAAAAAAGAACTAAAGGTGATTTTTAAAACACTTTTAATTCAACTAATGTAGTCCAAAACCACGGTTCTAAAATGCACTAAAGTTAGAAAAAACCCTGTCTGAACAGTTTTTTTCTGAATTTAGTGCATTTTAGAATGCTCATATCTGTATCACAGATAACGTTGAAATTTTTCTACTTATATGAGATTGCCCATAGTCATTCCAGAAAAGCGCAGGAAACTCTGTTTACGAAAAATTTTAGGCGTTTAGCGAGTTTCGAATAATAAAGCGACCGAAGCTGCGAGTGTATGACAATAAACCGCGACTTATAACAATTTTCGTAGATGCCCTAATATCTGTTTTTAACTGGTGCATGCCTAGTCTTTACTTCTGTATAGTCTGACACGTTACTACTAATAGAATGCATCAATATGTTTACTACTAGAGCCCTGCAGTGTTCTAATCGTATTTTAAGAGATTCAAACGGTGTATAAAGTTTTTCTAACGAGGGAAGGTCACCAACTGCCACCTCGCTTTTTAGCTCTAAGCTAGTGGGTAATACGTAAAAAAATGTGCTGAATCCGAATATGACAATGGTTTAGGCCGCTAGGCCTCCACAGACTGGATTTCTAGAAAACCAGTTTTCCAGAAACTCCAAAAACTCTCCAAAACTTTTCTTAATAAGTTCAAATTGTAGCACGCGAAATTCTGATCAAAATGACACATTGTCCAGCTCTACATGACATTTCTTTGCAAAGTTATGGAATTTACAAGAAAAGCCCAAATGTTTATTGTCAGCGCAAAGCTACAAATATAAGAAGGAAAAAATTGATTTAGGGCTTTTCTTGTAAATTCCATAACTTTGCAAAGAAATGTCATGTAGAGCTGGGCAATGTGTCATTTTGATCAGAATTTCTCGTGCTACAATTTGAACTTATTAAGAAAAGTTTTGGAGAGTTTTTGGAGTTTCTGGAAAACTGGTTTTCTAGAAATCCAAGCTTTGGAGGCCCAGCGACCCAAACCATTGTCATATTCGGATTCAGGACATTTTTTTACCTATTACCCACTGGCTTAGAGCTAAAAAGCGAGGTGGCAGTTGGTGACCTTCCCTCGTAAGATACGCTTCACTCGGTCGGCTTTTTAATCTGCCCGTAGGGTAGTTAGCATCTAGTTCTTCTAGCTGGCATCTAGAAAGTAGAGAATTCATAGATGACACATCTGAAGTTAATTTTCAGATATTTGGTTTAGTTATCCTATAATTAGTGGCACAAAATGAGTATATATTAAGACAACTTTATCGTTTTTCCTATGAGATAACTAATCGTCAGTGATTCACTTCATAGTGGATATATAATTTTTATAATTTTAATTATAGTATTAAAACAGAGACAAACCTTTCCGGTATTAAGAACATCTAATGCAGTTGGTATTTCAGAAAATTCACGTGGTGAGCCGTACAAATTAATCCAACATGGGCCAAATATTGGTAAAAAACCTTAGAGAAAATATAACAATAAAAAAGTATTATATATAAATAATACGTTAGAGTAGCAGTTTATTTTACCGTCTTGTTTATCGCTCGATACACTGGATAGATCAATATTATGTACACCAATATAATCATTTTTTGTTAGACGATCCCTACAGCAAACAATTTACTTTATTATGTTATACGAAACTAATGTATAGTTTCAGTAATAATAAACTCCTATCACAAAAAAATATATCTCTTTTACCAGTCCATTACTGTAATGGTTAATTTATTGCACATTGAAGGAAACTAAAATAGAAATATGAGATCGTATATATCTACTATTTGATCTAAATCAAGTGCTAAACACTCTTACTTTAAGTCCTAAACGTAATTCTTGATTAAATTCTGGATGTGAACAAGCATAGACAGTTTTCGATTCTACCTTAAAAGATAAATTATAATAATGATAAAAATGTATATCAGTGCAGTTCTAAATTTGAATTGGCAACTTTTGTTTACAGTAATCAGTAATTGAAGGCGGACTATAGACATTGATTTAATAGGCTTGAGTAATAAGACCCTACCTAGGATATAAATATTTTTTGTGGACTCTTATCAACTATTATAAAACATTCTTTTTTTTTATTAGCCAAATACTCCAAAGTCCAAAATACTCTGTTGACTTCAATTTCACGAAAAACCAAGAACATTTCATGTTTCTTAATGATTTTGTTAATTCTGACGAGTTCGCTCTTTGATGAAAAAATGTCTTAAAGAACTCAGAGACACCTCATTTTGTCTAAAAACATTTGACATATTTGACTAACAAGGGAATCGCCCCCAAGTGTCCAATTGCTGTTTCCTAAGAACATACACGATTGTGGGTAATTTTTGATGCTGATGACGAATCTGCTAAACCTTTCTAAGATGGATCTTCAAAATTCAGGTGTCCGAAGACCCACTACCCTCGCCTATTAGAAGGCCATGATCTTCTAATAGGTTTGTCTACATGAATGAATGAGAAAGATAGACAAAATAGATATACAAAATGAACTTTCAGCTGAACATATTTTGGCACTGCCAGATTATACAACACATTGAGCTGACTATGTCGACAACCAACAAACAAGTTTTCGCAGAGATAGAAAAAGTTTAGGACTGAAAAATCTGAAATATTTTGGTTCCATACTGGATTAGAAAGTAAAACTTTTCTATCTCTGCGAAAACTTGTTTGTTGATTCTAGAAACCTTTAGACGTAGTCAGTTCAACGTGGTGTATAATCTCGCAGTGTCAAAATATGTTCAACTGAAACTTCATAGTGGGTCTTCGGACACCCGAATTCTAGAGATCCATCTCAGAAAGGTTTAGCAACGGATATCACATTCGTGATCAGCATCACAATCCTATATGTTGTAAGAAAAAAGCGATTTCTGCATAAGCTATTTTCTAAAACTTTAAAATCGAATCTAATGGCTTGGCTTTCTAGGACTTGAGCTTACTAGAAATTCACATCCAGCACTTGAGATAACTTTTATACAGACACATAGTATTTGTTAATTGTTAAAGTTGCTCAAATGACTTTTTGGATTTGTTTTATCTATCACGCGCGATGGTATCAAATACAAATAAAGGTGGGTTATTTACATGTCAAGGTATACAAATATAGCATGTATACCTTGACATGTAAATAATATGTTCCAGCAGTAGACTGCACACTATTTTTGTTTTTTTTTGCACTAGATTCGCACAGACGTTCAAACCAGGCAACTATGTTATACAGCGGAATAAAAGAGAGAAGCATGCAATATTATATTTACGTGTTGTCCTGCAAATGTGAATGAAACGTATGGATCAACTAATTCTTTAACATCTTCTTGACCACTAAATATTTTCGTAACACCATGCAAAAATGCACTATCCACTGAAAGAAAATTTACACTGTTTTTTGTTTTAGAAAAGGTTCAAATTTTTTGTTTTACTTCGTGGTAAATCATCCGCTCTGTACAATTTCAGTAAAAATGTTGCTGATCTTAACGTCGAACCAGATTGTTTTAACAGATTACTAATATAAAACGAAATGAAAGAACATTTATTCATTATAAATACTGTCTAATACTTACGTTTCAATATCGTCATTGGCATCATCAGCTTTTTCTAGTATCTAAAGTTAAAAAATATTTTCTGTAATAGGACACTGAATTAAATTAGTTTAATTTCCACATTATGTGACTATCAGAATTATAGTCTATCAACAGAATTATAAGCTTCCTCTGTTGAGTAGCATTGTATATACATGCTATCTTTGAGACGATGGAAATATCCTGCTATATCATTTTGAGCTACAGTCAATTTCTGATGGAGTTACAAACAAGATTGTCAACTTCGCTGATTTAACTAGCGATCCAAAAATCGTTTCCCTATTCTAAAATCTTCTTTCGTATATTTCTAAGCATTATAGACCTAAGACTATTGGTAGTAAAAGAGAACCCTGATATTAAATATTTAATTTTCGAAATATCCTCAGTGAAATCGTTTGTGACATATTTCCAAGATTTGTCAATTTTGTAAGCCGTTTCTATGAAACAACTTAGATTTAAGTTATATATAAAACACCGAATCAAATGACACATCTAACAAATGATTCTCGTATACAAGAATTTCATCGAAAACTAGGTCCTCAAATGATTTTATTTCCAACACAAACATTTTTTTCTCGAGAAACTTAATTTTGAAAAGAAGAGTACGAGGTCCAGGTTAAAAGTTTTTGATGAAATTTTTAGATTCAAGAATCATTTGTTAGATGTGCTATTATATTAGAATGTTTCATGTATATCACAAATTTGAGTTAAGCTAAATTAATATTTAATTAAGTTTAATATCACTGTTTCTTCACTAGAAATGGTCTTGGGTTTGTAGTACTCAAAAATGACCTTTATCTTGACAAATATGCGATGTTGATGAAAATTTGTCATGTTTCCGCAGAATGAACTTCAACACTGTTCGGTTCTGCTCTTTGCGGACGGACTGTTTGAATAAATAAAAAATAGACTGCTGTATTTGACTTGAAATACACACTCTCAGACATGTGTGATTCCAAACACACGTGGCATAGAAAACTCTTTATTTTCTCCTACATATTAAGAATACCAAAAAAGTAAATTTGGAAAAGCCATGTGACTGCAGTAAGAGGAAGTAAACACAAGAGAAAAGAAAATATCATGCATTCTTTCAACGGTATGTTTCCTTCAAAATAGAAAGTTCTAGAACTTGTGAAGGGAAAGTGATGGAAGGCTAAAACTTTCAGTGTATATAGTATAGTAGACTACCACTAGTCTGTCATGTAAAACCTTCAGGTCTCTACTACTCTTCTGGACAGATGTATGATTTTTTTCTAGTTTACGCTGGAAAGACTAGAAAAATGTCTATAACTTTCGAAGGAAAAGCCATGAACCTGAATCCTTTTAGGCTTTTGGCAACACCGATGTACTCTATCAATCGAGGTATGAATCATTGAAAACGGAGTCAGTCATGTCCACATATTTCCTTGTGAATAGTATAGCTGGCCGTCTGATGAGTTATTATTATGGAGTGCTATAAGTTCTACATAATGCGTCAATATTTTACGTTTTTTTTTTATTAGAATTTTCTGTTCCTTCAAATGAAATTGATTTCCAAATTTAAGGTGAAAGCCGATGGAATGCTGCCCTGTTTTTCGCTAGAATTCCTCTTTCTTATTAATATAATCTCAATTAAAGTTAGAAGACCAAATTCCTTCACCATTAGAATCAACTCGTCAAGAGCTACAATTTGATGTATAATTATGCAATGTTTCGTTCATTTTCACCGACTTCCGTTTCACCCACACCAAAAACTTCAGGTGTCTAGAAAACCACTTTCCACACGTTTTTTCAAAAAAGCGTAAGTGAGACCTTTAGATTATTTTTGATGCTCTACACGATGGTCAAAGTGAAGTTTTCGCGGCTAATAGTGAATGTAATAGTGGGCGGATCTGCGTGGAAAGACCCTCTCTTTCCCTCCTCTCTCTTTTTGTTCTCCACACTAAAACGTCTTTTTCGCTGTAGTGCATGCAGGTAAAATCTTCTCCCCTGCAGGGAGTGCAGACAGGAAAGTATTCTTCTGTATCTACCGATCGTCAGTGGAAAAAGTTTTCATTCACTTGCAAACTGCAATCTGCCTGCACTGCCTGCAGCTTGCAGGCAGTTTAAAATGCAGATGATCAGCTCTGATGTATATAGTTGTCTTTTTCATCTATGATATTCATGTTTTTTATATTATAGGCGTCAAAAAGCAAACTGACTGGCAACGATCGACGTGTGATCCGAAATGGGAAGCGGTTTGTAACTTTATAAATGTATTAGAATAATGACAATAATATATTTTCTCGTTTTTTAGTCGTTAGAGTTTCCATTAAATGGTTTACCAGTACGCAATGCAGATGTTTTACAAGTACACTTATATGACTTTGAAACGATAGGAGCTGATAAGTAATATATACATATATATATATTAATGTATCTTTAGTAACATCCCAATTCAATTTCCATTTCAGATTAATTGGACAAGCATCAGTACCATTAATTGAAGTTATTCGAAATGGCACAGTAAAACGACGCCTAATTCAACTATCGAATCCACAAGGTGTTTTACTTGAAGGGGTAAGTAATATTATATATTCCATAAAGAAATATGTGCGGTTTATATCATCTATTTTACGTTGAAGACAAAATTATATATATCACTGGATTATGCACCGCCGCCAACAACTGATGTACCAGTAGTACAACAACGATCAGGTAAAGAGATGGTTTTAGGTCTGTTTAGATGAGATGACACAGAATTTATAGTAGATGTTAAGAGTAGTAAAATATGTCTTACATTGACAAAATTTTATTTCTTTGAAAAGAAAGTAGTTTTTTAAAAGTTCGCTAATGCTGGTTTATTATGATATTTTACGACGATGAACGTCTTACAGTCATTTTCTTTTATCGCGATGAGCATTAAATGTTAGACAACTCTCCGCTCTAAGGATCAAAGTTGTTGCGAATCTTTAGCGAATATATTTTGTGCACAAGCCCCTAATCCTCCATTATAGAAGGTCATCATGATCTTCTATTTTGGCGAGCAACTCAAGTTGATTTTTAGTTACAAATAGCAGAGGAGGTATCAGAAAAAAATCGTCAGCACTGGTCTTCTAATAGAGAACGGTCTTCTGTTTTGAGATAATCTTCTAGTATGGGGGAGAGACTCACCAGTGGCTTGATTTATAGAATAAACAGTGCTAAACATTCCTAGTGCAGCATGCAGCAACTGCAAGATCTGCAATCTCTATCTGTTTTAATAGTATAGGTCTTTAAACTTGTTCTTTTTTGTAAATATTCGTTATTTTCTATTCAGATGAGCCAAGTAATCGTGAACTACCTGCAAATCGCATGGAACCAGGTTTGACTGACTTCGCTGGTGATGTTCAGAATGATAATCCACCTATTGACAAAGAAACTGTACGAATGAATAAATTTCGATCAAATAAAAGTCGAGATTTTCAAGTAAGTTACTTATTTTTTGTTATTCATATGTTTAATCTTTGTGTAATTATATCTACATTCAGCTTAGAGTAAAAGTTTTTCAAGCACGTCAATTAGATGGAAGTAATTTATATCCTGTTTGTCGTGTACGTGCTGTTGGACATACTAGGCAGACAAAAATTTGTAAAGGAACAAATGAACCACAATTTAATGAAGTTTTCTTTTTCAATTTTAATATGACTGAAGCGGAGATGTATGACGAAATTATTGAATTTGAGGTAAGAAATAGAACGATAAGCTCTTTGTATGTTTCTTGTTAGTACAGATGCAAAATTGACCAAGAGATAAAGCATGTTCTTCTATATATTTTCTGAAAAACTCCGTTTTTTATCAATTTATAATCCTGTTGGAATTTTATCCGATTGAGCTAGAAGTTTTAACATAGATACCTGAAACAATATCTCAGAATCAGAAGTCACTTTCCGTTTTAGACTCTTACTTTCTGAGTTATTGGATATTCAAAATAAGAAGTATAAGATCATTTTTCTTTTATCTCTACAATGATCTGAACGAAAAACAATTGGTTTTCTGAGAAATCATTGTAGATATCTGTTACTGGTAAAATTTGAATTCAGGCAAATTTAGAATGTTACTAGGCAAAAATAGAATATTAAGTTTGCTCAAAAATCGAAATGTCTACACAGGTTGATTCTAAGTTTGCCTAGGTAAAATTTGAGAGTCGACTAGACCAGCTTAAAATTATCCAATAAACCATGAATGTGGTGATTAACCGATGTTTAAGCGCCTCTGTCGTTTGAACGACCACTCACACAACCATAAACATACATTCTGACACAATTTTAAACTGTTTCGAACTCAGTCGCTTTCTTCAACTCTGGTTGCAATTGTTCGAGATGATCAGTTTAAATGTCGGTTCACGAGATTTATTGATATTTATTAATCCCCCCTCCCACCCGAACTGGAAGGATCTTCTGTTGTGTCCCAGCGGACCAAGCTATTTAGGATGGCCTTCTGTTAGGACTGGCTTTGTAAACCGACCTTCTAAGGCAAATTTTCTAAATTCCCTGCGGTGAAAATTCTAAGTACCAAGATTAAAAACATGCATAATTTCACAGTTTCTAGAAGTCAAATGCTGAAAAGTTTTCGAAAAAAGTAGGCCGATCGTATTAGGAGGCCATGGTCTCCTAATATGGATTTTATAAAATTGTCTCAGAGGTGGTAATCTATTCTGGGGGGGGGGGGGGGTTTTTAAAACATTTCACAATTTACAAAAAATTAAAATATACGACCAA